GAGAGAGAGAGAGAGAAGAATATTTGGTGGATGGAGAAGAAACGGGGAAAAAAATTAGAAAAGTGGAAAGCTCGAAGTCAGATTTAGATTTTATCTGGCTCGTGGATGCCTCGAATACTTATGGATCTAAAGTTTATCTTCCAGCAGGATGATAAATAGAAAATGATTAAAACATGAGATTCGAAATTACGCATACGATTTATAAAATATAATCCTACGTATCTTTCTAACGTATCATAAATAACGAACGAACAATGGATCGTTATTTTTTTTTTCCCTAGCGCGATTAAATGATAATTAACGACGATAAACGTGATAAAATCACACGTTCTTCGATTTATCCCAACCGGGTAAATTTAAAACTGAAGACTCGAAGAAGACGACAAATAACACCGAGGAATAAACGAATAAATAAATAAATAAAATAAAATAAAATAAAATAAACGAAGCAAAGGGCAGAAGCTTGAGAGTACGAGAAAGAGAGGAGGAGGAAGAAAAGAAAGGAAGAAAGTGGAGGCGCGCAGAACGGAGGCAATGTCATCGAATTTACATAATGTGTCCTCTTTCTTCAATTACATACTCGGCGAGATATCGTTCGATATACACCAGAGAGACGCTCTGCTCGTCCGCCATCGGAGGATGGAAATAGCGTGGAAGAGAAAAAGAATGTAAAAAGATGTTTCGTTTCCTTTGTGCACGCCTTATTCGCTCTTTCGTGGAAAGGAATGAAACTTGAGATTTATCGCTTCCTTCGATTTTTAACCTCTTCGTCCTCTTGGGGAAGAGGCAACTTTATCGTACTCTTCTCGAAAATTTACAAATACTCGTCGAAACGTCGACCGAGGAACGTAAACAAAACAAAGGATCGAGTTTCAACGGACGACCGCCTCGCTATAACATTATCGGTACGCTCCACTTTCCATTTTGATTCCGCGCAGCACCTGGGACGCTCGCCGTCGATCGGGCAATCCAAAACGTGTGGAAACGAAAACGGCAGATGCGACGCTTTCCACTCGAACGATATCGATCGCGACCTCGAGAATTCGAGAACGAAAAAAGGAATAAACTCGAGGAGGGAAAAATTTAAGCGGGAAGAATCGAGAAGGAAAAAAATTCGACGAAACTTTAGGATAAGAAACGAGAAAAATCGAGAGAGAAAAAACAAAAAAAGAGGGAAAAATTTGAAAAAGGATTTAAGGAGTGTGAAAAAAGGAAAAAGATTCGATGAAATTCGAGGATAAGGAACGAGAAAAATCGAGAAGAAAAAAAAGAAAAAACTCGAGAAGGGAAAAATTTGGAAAAGGATTTAAGGAGCGGGAAAAATGGTGGGATCGGAGAGGGATGCGCGAGAGGTGGAAAGCGGAGAAGAAGAAAGGTAAGAGGCGCGCGGATCCCTTCCTCCCGGTCGAGAAGGTTGGAAGAAGAGAGCCGTTGGGAGGAGATCGGTGGTCGTAGCAGGCTCGCAGTGCATCGGCTGGTACATCGGCCGGCCGGACGTTCGACGTCGGACGCTTCACATCACCGGGACACACTGATGCAACGCGCGAGAAAATGCCGACCACGCTGCCCGCTCTGTGTAAGTGCGACGACCACGCGGATCTCGAATTTCGATCGTGTCTCTCCGCTCTGCTCCGCTCTCGTTCGATCGAAACGAAACGGGAGCCGATTCGAGGCTGTGCCCCGCTTCGATCCTTCCTTTAACCCGGTCCGTTTTACCCGCGCAACAGGTAAGAGTTGTCCGTCCATCGATCGTGGTGGCGTGAAGAAAGAATATACGTCTCGAAACGCCAGTATCTCGACTCGCGCGGCAGTCTTTTTTCCATCGAGCGTTAGATCTACGCTCGATGCTCGCTTCGATCGATTCTCCTCGTTGTCCTCGATCGCGCAACGGTGGTGGACTCGCGTTCTTTCCCACTTTCCAGTTCCGAGTGTGTGCAGTTTGCGGTTTCGGATCCACAGATATGTATCGGATTTACAGGATCGAGTTTAGTTTTTACTCGCGAAAAACGTTAACGAGTTTGATCTAGATTCTCTTTTTTTGCTTTAAGCAAATATCTGTCCCTGTATCGGGATAAAAAAGGTATTCGTGAGAGTGCGATTGAAAGGAAAAGTGGAGAGGAAAGGGATATTGTGTGTAACGGTATATAATAATACGATGGATCTCAATTTATGATTGATTTTTCTTCTTCTTACGTTTCAATGATTATATACGTTATATCGATCATGTTGATGATGATTCTTCTTCCTTCGAGTCGTTTAATTATAAACGGTGTATTTTCAAGGGCAGTGGAAAAGTAGTTCATCGTAGGTGTTTACGACGAATAACGAAGAACGAATCTTCTTCCAGTTCATCAATTTTTTATCATTTTCGATCGATATTCTTCTTTCGTACAGAATTCGAAAATGACACGAAGCCTCGACGTGATCGTAAAACCATTGTTTCGATTCTATAAAAGTTTTTACGTGGGTGTGTGATTTATACTGGTTGGCATTCGGTTGCTGTATATATGTATATATACATATATATCATATATGTTATAAATTGGCGAAACAATCGATCTCTATACGATATACGAATTTTGAAATATTTGATTTATACACGATAACGTATAACGCGTTCCGATTTGCATCCCCGATTTTTTTCCACGTACATCGTACATCGGACGAACGAGTGAAATCTCTGATGATTCATAAATTCCACGAGACGGGGAACACGCAAATATATTCTCACGAGCCTATTCACAACGAAATTCTGTTACGATTGTACGAATGAACGGGGTATTCAATCGATCGGAAGTACGTAACACGCAGATCGTCACAATGGATTAGATAAAACAGAAATTGAAATTTTCGCTGTCGAAATTTCTCGTTACTTGAGAGAAATTCGATCGCCCCTCCTCCAAACATCGCGTTTAAAACTCGTTGATTAAACCGCTTTTGGTTAAGTTTTTAATTAACGAAAACTTATTTGAAAATTGATCGATAAATTTGATAAATCATTAACAATATTGTACAAACAAGTATATTTCGAGTTATGTTTAATTCTCGCCCAAGTGTAACTCATCAAATTCTACAATATCGAAAAATGAATATCACGAGAAGATTAAAAAAGCGGAAATACGTATATACATATATATATATACACGTAACGAGATATCTGTAATTAAAATAGCAAAACGAGTGACTTTTAAAACGTGAAAACGTAAGTAAACGTTCTGGTCTTTCACGATCCACGACTCCTCTCCTCTCCTCTCCTCGAAACCATCCAACCATGTTGACCTTTGTTGCGCTCATCTTTTTAATGCCAACATCGCTACCGCGAGCGGGGGATCTCTCTTTTTATCTCTCGAACAAAGATTCGCGTGGAATCCGTGCAATTTCGATCCCTCTAACGATAATTGCCCCTCCCACCGCGCGTGATCCCGTTATGTCGCATTCCCAATCACACCGCTCCGCGCTATACTTTTTTTTTAATCGGGTTACGCGGCGAGAAAGCGCCACGCTCTTGCGAGAGCCAGGCTAACATTCCATTCCGATATCATTTTCTCGATACGAGTGTCGAAAATCCGATCTCTCTACTCGAAATCGTCCAAAAATCTAACATCCCGCGAGATTCCCTTTAATCTTATTGTTATTTTCGATAAATTTTTGGTTTTAAAATTTTCTTCGATTCGTTCGAGATTCGCATTAACTTCTTTTTCGAATTCTCTTCTTTATTCCTTATTAAATTTGGAATTTTTTTTCCTTACAAGATTTCTCGATACTTTTTTATCTATTAAAAATATCTTTCGTAACAGTTTATTCCATTTTTTTTCGAAAAACGAATAATAATAATTAGTGACGAGTAATGACGAGGTGTATTTTTGTGTTCTATTCCATCTTCCTTAGGTTCGAGGTAGAGATCTTATTGTCGTTAGATGGCAGCATGTCGTTACATCTTAAATTATAGCCGGAGGACTTATAGGTTAGCGAGTAAAAATTTCGTCATTCGTGAGGATCCTTTCTTCGTAATGAAACAGAAGGAAACTGCTTGTTGCAGTAACCAGAGAGTGCGTCAGAGAAATTCAGTGTTGTCAGTTGGTGCAAATACGACGGTGACGAAATAAAAATATGGACGGAGAATAGAAATTAAGAATTAGCATGGAAAGAACAGAGATTGTTGAGGGAACGATGATGCTGTTTCCAAATTATCTTAAATTATTCTGAAATTTCTGAATTGTCAAAGTTGAAAAACGAAGATATGAATTTTGTGGCTTGACAAAGAACAATTGTAGAATTCTTTTCTCGTCAAAATCGAAGTAGGTTTGCTCGTCAAAATGTAATTTAACCTCGTTTTCGAATATCAAGTATCGATTAATTGATCGAGGCAAAGTATTGATGGAAGTGAACGCGTAATTTCAAATTTTGTAACGACTTTTCGTCAAATTTGATAATCGGATATTTCAACTTGTTTCGTGAAAGAAACGAACGAAAGAATCCTATAGTAAATCACGATCTTTTCATCGACTTGCCATTGATACCGAGACACCATAACCTGTTTCTCGAATAAATTAACCAACTCTGTGCTATTACACGGTTCTAATAAGGGAGACATTAAACAAAATAGGCTGTATTTTACGAAATCATTGATTTTAGAACCGATCGATAACCTGATCGATCGTTTTGATCGAGCAAGTGAGAAAATTACAGCGATTTGAATAATCTTCGATCGTTGGTCACGAGTGGAACGAACGATTAACACCGGTTAACGGCGAAAGTCGATCATCGAACGATGCTAACGAATCTTCCGCAATCGCAGACACTCGAGAAGAAATTTTAAAAAACCATTCGGATTTTTTCAACTTTTATTAACACGGATTGGCAAGTTTTTTTTTATTTTTATTTTTTTTGTAAATTAAAGTTAAGCAAGTTACTTTGTGTTAGAAAATTCAAATCACAAATATTTGTCACATAAATTTTTCATATATCTATTTTCTATTTTATTCTACACTAATTTTTTTTATATATTCAGTCACATTTTTAACGAAATAATAAATTATAATAAAAAGCAGTATCGTTTTCTAAAAGTTAAATCTCCTTTCTAAACGGGGGAAAAAAAATAATTTTGCCCAGTCATCTCCTATCATTCGAACGCGAATATGCTCGAGATGGAATAGCACTCGAGTGCAAACGAGCGTTCTATGCTCTCTGAACGAGTTATGCTCGTCCACTTTCGAACTTGATCGATCGATGGATCGATCACGCTATTATTTCGCTTTATTTTTGGTGATTTCTCGCGATTCGATATCGATCGGATGCGATCAAGGTGATGAATATGTGATGGATAGAAACGTCGCGCTTTCGTCCATTCGTTCGAAAATGGAATTGATGAAAAATGATAGGGTCGCATACACAGAGGAGATGAGAAGCTGGTTTATTGCTGCTGTCGTAAAAAGAGTGGGATAGAAACGGATAAAGAAAGTAGATAAAGAAGGGCGGAGAAATGGGTGGGAAAACGATTGCATTTACGTCGAAAAGCGTTAAGTATTCGCGCATGCGCGCGCGCGCGCGCGCGTGTGTGTGTATGCACGGCACTCCTGTTTGCACAGGTCTCGTGATGCTGGTCTTGTGCAACGTTCACGCCAGTCTTGAACATGAAATTCCAAGGAGGAGCTTCCTGTCACGAAGAGCCATCGATGGGACAAGGGGGAGGTATTGCGCTCGTTTCGCGTATTGGCGCGGACGCGTGTCCATTAACCATTAACAAGCAACGATCTCGTTTCAGGAAATACTTCGATCCGGAAGAAGAGGGCGCGTTCGACAGCTTTGGATCCGCTGGTGGCCAGTACAATCCTTATCAGGAGAAAACAGGTAGAGATTTCGACTTGTTCCAT